CAAGACTGAGGATCTGTCAGGGCTAAAGACCCATCAGGGCCCCAAGCACCTGGAGTATGGGGGACAGCTCCCAGCTGTGAATGGGGCAGTTTGGGGAAGGGAGGGTCAGCTATTGGAGGTGATGTGGAAGCCTGAGGTCCTTAGAGGGGACTGTTGATGGGCTCACCAAGGAAATGTTCATGGGATTTCCCAAACACACAGACACCAGCCATTTCCCTCAGCCCTTGGTTCCTTTCTGTCTCCCCTTTCCTATAAGCTCATTTGTAGGAGCCCTGAGAGGGTAGAACGAGGCCTCTTCTCTACCTCAGGACCATAGTTCATTAGACTGGGAGTCACCTGGTGGCTAGTTGGTGTTGGTTGGTGAGAGGACTTTTCCAGACTCACAGGCTCTTTCAGAAGATGCTTGAATGTCCATCTGCCATGGGGACAGCTCCTGCTGAATGCGTCATCTGAGGGAGAGAGCCAGGCAGAAATGACCCTGTTTTTGATCATGCCTTAGAGGGTATGTGAAATCATTTGTTCCTCTTTGAGTAATCAGAAGCAATTTCCTGCTGAGCCCACATTCAAGGGCAGCTGTGATGGGGTCACCTTTGAAAGTCTTTGAAGGGCTGGAGCGATGGCACAGCGAGTAAGGCGTTTGCCTTGCACGCAGCCAACATGGCCCACACAGGTTCGATTCCCAGCATCCCATATGGTCCCCCGAACACCGCCAGGAGCAATTCCTGAGTGCATGAGCCAGGAGTAACCCCTGAGCATCGCCGGGTGTGACCCAAAAAGCAAAAAATAATAATAATAATGAAAGTCTTTGAAATGAGGAGCTGGAGAGATAGCACAGTGGGTAGGGTGTTTGTCTTGCACGCAGCCGACCCAGGTTTGATTCCCAGCATCCCATATGGTCTCCCGAGCACCACCAGGAGTAATTTCTGAGTGCATGAGCCAGGAGTAACTCCTGTGCATCACCAGGTGTGACCCAAAAAAGTAAAAAAACAAAAAAGTCTTTGAAATGAAAGAGTAGGGGATGAGGATGAGGGCTAAGAGTCCTTGGGGGTCCCCAAAGTAGAGTAGAGATCGAGACACCTGGCTCTGAGCCTCTTGGCATGGGGGTCACTCATGGTGGGCGGAAGGGCCCTTGAATAGTGTCCACATCCCTGGAACCTCCAAGGGCAGAAGGGACTGTGAATTGATTCAGTGTGGCCTTGAAGGGCGAGGGCCCTGGAATAACTGGTGGGTCCTTTCCTATCTGAGGTTAGAGTCCAGAGAAAAGGGGGCTATGGAATAATGGTCACGACGAGCAGAGTTGTTGGCTTTTATTTGTTTTTAATAGGGAACACCCACTCATAAAGAGTGGGGTGGCCACTATCAGAGCATATAGCCGTGGTGGTCAGGGGTCACCAGGCTGTACCAGGGAGTATGGGAGGGTTTATGAATTCAGCACCATCCTCAGAGCAAGCAGATGCCCCTGACCCCTGAGCTCTCCCTGGCTGAAGCTCCAGATTTTTAAAAGGATTTGTTTCCTTATTTTCAGAGTCCCGATATTTCAGCAGTACTCAATATTTCCAATAGCTACTTGGACCTTGGGAGCTTGTTTTTTTTTTTTTTTTATCATACCCGGTGGTTTTCAGGGGTTACTCCTGGCTCTGCAGTCAGGAATTACTCCTGACAGTGCTCAGGAGTGTGGGATGCTGGGGATCACTGCCTGGGTTGGCTGTGAGCAAGGCAAGTACCGTGCCCACTGTACTATTGCTCCAGCCCCTTGAGAGCTTTTAAGCCCACCATTGTAGGGTTTGGGGTGAGGGTGGGTGAGGTTCACCATTCTATGGTAAAATGGAAGAAGGTTCCCCCCTACTCATTGGGAACCCAAATCCAGCAGAACATCTTGAAGGTACCAGTTGAGAGGAAACCCGTGTACTGCGGGGCTCCTTTGAGTTTTTGTCAGTTAAGTCTGAGGATCTGGTCACACACTACTGAATGCATGGAATGATTCTTTGGGCTCAGCTGATGACGAGTGAAGGCTGTAATAAGGGCACTTTGGTAATGACTTTCACTATCAAAGCCTGAGTTGAAGCCTTTTATACACTCCTGTTTTGGACTTTGTAAGCTGAATAACAATTCATTTTTTCCATTCCTTTGGTAACTTCTAAACAGAGCCAGATTCCCTCTTCTCTCCCCACGGCAAATTGGTACCGCCAGCAGAGGAGAAAATAATCATATTTGTTTTTGATGTATTACCCCACTTAACTATGTTAATACATTTTATGGGTTTGAAAGAAAGACAGCTATCTCTTTATCATCTTCCAAATGGTCAGGAATGAGTTTGGTGATTACCAATGTTATTTTTTAAATGGAATAGCACATTATGTAACATTTTATAGCCATCCTGAATATTCTAGATTATGATTCCTTTGATTCCTTGTTAAATTATAGTCATTGTAATCTTTAAGCGACAAAGTCTGAATAAAGTCATCCTGAAATGAATGAATAACCTGGTGTGTGTGTGTCTGTGTGTTTGTGTCTGTGTCTGTGTGTGTGTGCGTGTGTGGAGAGAGAGAGAGAGAGAGAGAGAGAGAGAGAATTTGAAGCACTCTTCATGATTTCTCCTGTCAAAGGGTCATACTAGTTGCCAGAGGGATAATACAGCAAGTAGGTCTTTTGCCTTGCACACAGCTGACCCGGGTTTGATCCCCACTATCCCATATGGTCCCCTGAGCCCACCAGGAGTGATCCCTGAGCACTACTGGGTATGGCCCAAAATACATTTCCCCCTCCACCCCCCAAAAAAGGGTCCTAATATTCAGGTTAGATTGACCAGTTGCTCTAGGTTAGTCTGTTATTCGTGATAGAGACTATTATGAAAGGGTATGTCTGCTTTGAAGTCAGATTAAGTAGTTTTGAATCCAGTTCCCAAACTGGACAACTGTGTGATTTGGGTCAGATTTCCTTATCTGTACTAAGCCTATTTTGTCATCTATAAGACAGGACTCTTATAATAGCTTTTCTCTCACTGATAGGATTTTTGGGATTAGATCTGCCATGCTTAGCGACTAGTCATGTCTCTGATCTGGAGTAACCCCTGGAGGTGCTCCCAGGGCCTGATGCAGTGCAGGGGATCAAACCAGATACACATCTTAACCCCATTCCATCTGTCCAGACCTCTTAGGCAGAGTTTTCAATGACATCGTGTAGTGATTTCTGTCACCTATTCAATAGGCTGTTTTTATTGTTGGCTAAGTCATCAGCTTGATTAAAAATTACTTCAAACACACATCCAACTTCCCTTCTTACACCAAAATACTAGAATTAAGCTGATCTCTCAAGTAAAAGAAGCAAGTACATCTTAGCCTGTGTCTGGTCAGCTTCAGCTTCTTGAAGCCCTATTCCAGCTCCAAGCCGCCTCTTTTCTGATGCAGTATGCATCTCAAGTTTTTCTGCATTGTGATGCAGAAATTGTCAGGTTAAGAGTCTCAAATACAAACAATCAGTGGTTGGAGCGATTGTAGAGTGGGAAGGATGCTTGCCTTGCACTTGGCCAATCCGGGTTATATCCCCAGCACCCTATATGGTCCCTGCCAGAGGTGTTCCCTGAGTTCAGGGCAAGGAGTAAACCCTGAGCACTGCCAGGTATGGCCCAAAAATAATATGAAGAAAGAATCAGTGGTCTGTGAGTTTTGTGAAACAAAAGAATAGCTGGTTCAGGTTCCTGATTGGAAGCCATCCAAATGACCTTATTCTTCAGTTGGATTTTTCTTGAAGGTAATTGAACAACCCACCTTAAAAAATATAGATCTTGTTATCCATGACACCATAAAGCTATGTGGATGATTCCTGTGGAAGCAGTTGGGTGTAGTTCTAAAGGTCCCCCAAACAAGGTTTCCCTGGAAACTGCAGTCCCAGTAAAGGCTGAAGTATACCATGTGCTGCCCGCCTTTCCGGGCCTGTCCCTTGCCCAGCACCTGCAGCTGACATTTTATTCCCAGGGGAGGATGGGGGGGGGGGGAGTTATGATCGGAACAGTCATACAAGTTTCAAGGTCCCCTGGCAATTCTGGAGGGGAGGGCTCTTGGGCTCTTTGGGCTCTGAAAACGCTCCCTGAATGTTCTCTGTAGTGCTGGCCTGTCCCTCTTCCTTTCTTTAGTCTGCAGGGTTCCATGGTGACTGGTTCTGAAAGAAATCTTCCCCCTCAGCAGTTACCTCGCACCATGGCAACCGGGACGTCAGCAGAGGGGGAGCTGCCCCTCCCCCTGCAGCCAGCCACTTCTTGCTCCTGTCCCGCTGCTCACCCATGCCCTGAGCTCTGCCAGGGCCTAGGGCCACCAGGCCTGGCCCATGCTGTGGCTTTGCCTGTGATCGTGAATAGCTGTGGACATACAGAAAACAATGTGATTGAAAAGTCCCCCCCCCCATAGGTGTTTTTCAAAGGATGGCATGGGCTTTGGGACTTAACTCTGTAAAAATCATTTTTATTTGTAGGGTCACAGTAATTTGATACAAGTGGAATTGTGGCCCTTAAATATTGGGTCTGATTCATCTTTGAATGGGGAAAGGAAGTATTCTAGGAATATTTTAATTTACATGAGAGTAAAAGCGGCAAATGGCTTTAAAGGGGGGCTGTCCATGGTGCTGAACACCCCCTTTGTCCCAAATGGGCCAAGGGGAGCTCCAGAGGGAGGTGAGGGGGTGTTGCAGTGTTAGGGATTGATAAGGCGAGAGGAAGGGGCCAGGGGGAGGCATCATCCCCTTTCCTGCCAAGTCTGAGCCCAGGAGCCAAATCTGCCGATGAGAAATAAAGCGGGAGAGAAAGTGGAGAAGGCCGGAGATCTGGAGAGTTGACTCTTCCCCCTTTTCATATGGAGATCCTGGTCCGAGCCAATCAGGGCGGAGATTTCTGCTGCCTTGCTCCGGAGAGGAAGTGTGGGGGAAGGGAGGGCGAAGATGGCCACGTTCCCCCCCACTGGAGCCACATGATCTATTTCCCATGTGACACATTCCAGAGCCCAGGAAAGGAGAAGGGAGGGGAGCGTGGGGCTGGGGGCGGGAAGATGGTTTAACCGTCGACCCCGTGAAACGTCACCTTGTCTCCCTACCAGGAAGCCGACTGAGCCAAGGGGAAGACCGAGGACAGATATGAATGTGTTCCCTCGCCCTCCTGCTGGTTTCTGGCATTCTCCGAACCCCTGTGCCCCGGCTCTTCCTGACCACGATGCCCCGCGGAAGCCGGCTCTGAAGGCGAGTCCCGATGAAGGTATGTGAGCGCACCCGCCGCCTTGGCGCGGCCCTGAGCACATCTCTCGGTCTCTTCCCAGGCAATCTGGAGATTTTGGGGGGAGGGTCCTGGTTTGGATGCTGGGGAGCGGCTGTAGATTGGTACCAGAATCAAAAAAGGCAGTTCTGTAAAATGAATCATGTGCCAGACTCAGTGCCTATTGAAGGAGAAGTCGATGGAAAATGTGTAGCGTGGTCATTAATAAAATTAAGTCCTCATTGATGAAAAGAATCGTTTTCCCCCTTTGAATCCTGGGAAGAGGGGAAAAAGCAGCATCACACAAAGAACGCCTCAGTTTCATTGTCCTTGCAGTCAGATTCTCTTTCGCCCCTCTGGGCTGCTTCTAAGCCCCTGTTCTGGGGGTTAGTGGCAGAAAGTGGGGGAGCGGGAAGGAGCCGGGCTGGGCTTGGTGCTGTGTGATGTCTTCCCTCCGGTGCCCCTTTCCCATGAGTGCTGGAGCTCTCTGGCTCTGATGGTAACAGGAGGTTACCCCTGAAGTCCAGATTTCATGGGCCCGCCTCCAGGAAGTTCTCAAAGGAACCTACCCGGGATTCTAGGTTAAAATAAGGTGCCTGAGCTCTTCACTCTTGTTCCCTTTGTACACAGCACCAAGAGGAAAGCTGGCAAATGAAAATTGTATGTCATTGTTATTTAACGCATGCAGATAAAGTTCTTGCAGTGTGCGTGGTGTCATTCCAGGAACAAGCTGTCACGTGCAAGGTGTAGTTCTAAGAAGGATCACTTCATCTTTCTGCTAACCTGAGGGAGGTGTTATTATTTATCCACAATTCAGAGATGAAACAAAGGCACAGAGAAGTTAGGGAACTTTTTCAAGGTCACCTGGCTAATGAATAGTAGAAGCAGATTTGGACCCTGGAAATCTGAACCCAGAGTCTACGATTTTAACCCCTGAATTCTGTTTTCTTCTGCTTGGATCATTTCAAATGATGTTGACAGTAAATGTGGCTATAAATGCTGTTCAGCAGACATTATGAGAGGGTTGAATCAGCTGGTCCAAATATAAATTCCCAGTGCATTCTAGATTTAATTTTCAATTATCTCGCTAGTTATGTTCTGCACCTCCATAGAACCCAGAAAGTAATTGCATGTCCCTACCTTCCCTTGTGCTATGGAGATATCTGGTAGTAAAACTTGGTGTTCTTATGGTGACCAAGTAATGTCTGAAGGGGAAAAAGAAATCTAGGATTACACCATGGTTGTTTTTATTTTTTCCAAACTAAACCTCGAAGCATTCTTCCATCCTCAGAACCGAGAAATAAGACTTAAGCATATTGTCTTTAAAAATAACCATTTTTCAAAATAAAATAGGTTAAGATGTTTTAAAATTTTAAATGAAAATATAAAATTCACTGGATTTATTTAAGTAGTTTGTATATATTTTTTGTTTGGGGGCTACACCTGGACTGACTTCTGGCTCTGCACTCAGGGATCGCTCTTGGTGGGCTGGGGGACTAAATGGGGTGCCAAGAATTGAATCCGGGTCAGCTGTGTGCTAGGCAAGCTCCCTACCTGCTGTACTGTTGCTCCGGCTCATGGATTTATTTATTTTTAAATAATAATTTGTGTACCTGGAAATAAGGAAAGAGCTCTCTTTACAAATTATTTCAGTTTTTTAAGGGAAAAGAAGACAATTTTTGTTTTTTTCCTTCTGGAAGTTTCTAAACTGTAAGGACTTCCTCCCTTTGATCTGTGTAATTTCCCTCTGGCTCCTGACAGTTAAAGATCATGATCTCATTCCTCTAAGCGGTGGGAAAGCTAGCAGTCACTCAGTCTAAGATACGAACAGAAGATTGGACAGAAATCTAAAATTCATAAGGTTCTTTACCAAAGCATTTCCCTCAGGGTGTCATTGAAGAATGCTTTGTTTTGGTTTTCAGTTAAATCTTTGAACATCTACCTTTATAATACTGTGTGAACTGGGGAGATGAAGTGTACTTGGAAGAGTAATTGTGTTCCTCCAGTACAGAACTTGAGCCTTTCTGTGGAGCCTTTGATCTGTGCTGTGATCTGCCTGGGGCAGTTGCCAGGACACTGTCCCCATCCTCCGAGCGGGCTTCTCAGAGAAGGGACCTTTGCCTTCCCGCTTGGGATTTCCAGCACTTGGCCCCAGGCCTGATTATTTAGGTAACTTTCAGTGAAGGGTTGAAAGTTTCGGGGTCCCTGACAGCATTCTGCTATAGCCAGTGTGGGGTCCGTGCTCACTTCCTGTGCATGTGTTTACAGAGAGCAGAGAACTTGGCAACTGTTAGACTGATCCTTGAAGTCCTGTCTGCTCAGCAGGCTGATGCTAGAGTAGAAGCGCGCTCTAGTCCAAAAATAACCAGAGGGCCAGAGCTGTGGCTTCTTGGTGGAGTGGCTGGTTTGCTCCCTGGCACCACCCTCTCCCACCCCTAGTGGGCATCAGCCACCCCCTGATACTGTCCTTTATGGACACACACACATTTTGGTGCTGGGGGCAAACCCTGACCTGATCGATGTGGTGTGTGTTCCTTACCAACGAGAGCCCCTGGCTGTAATCTAGGTACGGAAGGAAACGATTCTGCTGTTGCATGTACATCACAGTATGGCTCTGTCTCTGTTGTGCTTGTCACCTCACCCCCTGTTGAGACACCTTTCATGGGGGAGCAGGTCTCGAGGCCTTTTCCAGTCCTAGCAGGAACTGTTCATCTGCCTGGGCACTCCAGCCCTAGCGCAGCATGCCAGGAGCTCCCGGGACTGTGGGCCGCCTTGTGCGGGATGCTTCTTCAGGGTTATGCAGTGACTGCCCAGGCCTGTGTGCAGGACACGGTGTCCTGGTGGGCCCACAGCTGTAAACACTTGCTTCTCTGGCTCCTGTGCCCAACTCAGCCTCTTCAGTCTCATGGGAGGAGGCAGGGAGAAGAGGTGGGGAGAGGGTGTTGGGGCTCCCTGCTCTTTGCTCCAGTGTTAATGTTAAGTGTTAAGTGAGAGGTGAAGTCACTTGGAGGCCAGGCCATCCTGAGGGGCGCATGCTTAACTTGTGCATGCTTGCACACACACACACGCGTGCACGCACGCACACACACACACACACCCCTACACACACGTGTGGGGGCTGTGGGTGAGCAGCCCAGTGTGCTCTCAAAGTCACGATGGGTGGGCTTCTCCCCAGCCCAGAGAAGATGGAACCGAGAGAGGAATGGCGAGGGGCCGCGAGGAGGCGAGGCCTAGCCACGAATAGGAGAGAAGAAGGGTGACGTATGGGGAAGGAGCTGGGGGCCTGCCCCTGGGTGCATGGACCCTTGTAGAGGGTCTTTGTGTCGGGAGAGACAGGAACAGAGGGAAGGACTGAGCATGACTCAGTGTCTCCTCTGGAGCCAGGGTGGAATGGGCAGAGGCTACACACGTGTGTTGAGAGACGCTGTGATAAAGCCTGGAGAACTGGGGCAACAGCTCAAAGGTTTGGAGATCGCCAGGGCCCCAAGCACTGCTGGATGCTTCCTCAGAAAACAGCAGGAGAGTCAGAAGGAGAAGGGCAGATATAGAATGACTGCATTCATTTGTGCAATATAAAAGATATATGTACTTTATGAGACTGATATCCAAGGCCAGGGTAAATAGGGATCAGGAGGACTGGTCAGTGGGTGGAAGTTTGCCACGAGAGTGTGTCGGGTGAAGGGCAGTTAGGATCAGGAATGGACCAATATGACAATAATATTTGGAAATGATCATTTTGGACCGGAACTGTGTGTTGAAAGTAGGTAAAGGGATATACCTGATAATCTTTCATTATCTGTATTGCAAACCATAAGGCCCAAAAGAGAGAGAAGAGGGAGGGAGGGAAGGAGGGAGGGAGGGAAGGAGGGAGGGAGGGGGGGTGAGAGAGAGAGAGAGAGAGAGAGAGAGAGAGAGAGAGAGAGAGAGCGCTGCTGCAATAGAGTGGTCTGCAGTGGTAGTTCAGTAGGGAAGGCACTTGCCTTGTACACGGCCCATCCAGCTCCATCTCTGGCACCACATATAGTCGCCCTGAACTCTGCCAGAGTGATCCCTGAGCACAGAACCAGGAGCAAGCCCTGAGCACTAAGTGTGGTCCCCAAATGAAAATAAATAAAATGCCAAATGGGGTGATCATCATGACTGTTTTTGTGTGTAGTCACTTGTCCTTGGCTAACCTTTTGTTTTCTCTTTTTTTCTCGGGGTTCCTCCCAGTGTGGTGCTCAGGAGGCTCCTCCTGGCTGATGTGGTGCCATGGACTGAGCCAGGGTTAGCCACGTGCCAGGCAAGTGTTTAGCCGCAGAGCTGCGTCTCCCACCCTCCTTGGCTCACCTTTCAAAGCCTTTCAACCAGCATCTTAGGCACTGTTCTATCGTGGGCATGCTTCTCTGGAACCCAGTGACGTGTGTGATGGACTCCACTGTCACTGGGGAAACTGAGGCTCAGAGAGGTGAGCAGCAGGCAGGATCTGCACTCAGGCAGTGCTCCTTCTCTGTTCCGAGCACTCGAATGCCAAGGAGAGTTCTTCCCTCTATCTATGCTCTTTCAAAGAGTATATGGTTCTCATCAGATTAATACAAATCCAGTTTCACTGTACTTGTGGAAATCTGTGGGAAAAGATGAAGGTAGAATGAAAATTAAAGTCACTGTCCCCCAATGTCTAGAAACCGCCACCATCAAAACTTGGTATATTTCCTTTCAACTTTTTTCCCTTCTCAGCCTTTTCCAAAGCATTGAGTGGTACTGAAAGGGAACTTTTATTTTATTTACTTTGGGGAGCTATGCTTAGGGCGTGGGGTTGAACCTGGGGCCCTGCATGCAGAGCACGTGCTCCAGCCCTCAGTGCTCTCCTGGCCACAGGAGCACCATTCACCAAGTGCTGACTTTGCTCCAGACGCCGCGGCTTCTTGGCTCCTGTCTTCCCTGCTTGCTTTCTCTTTTCAAGCTATACCTGGCAGTGCCCAGGATTAACAAGTACCAATGACACTCGTTGCTTAACTTGTGAG